CAAAACCCCAAAACCCCAAAACCCCGAGATTGGCAGTACTTATAAATATTTTGAAAAGTTAAATAAATAGTAATCTTAAATTAGAAAAGCATATATTTCATTGACAAAAATGAAGGGAAATTTTTAAAATGAGTCAATGTCTGACTTTGACGAAGAAGACATGGTGGAGGCAGAAATTAGTAGAATTTAGTTTAATTCTATGCAGAAACTAGATTCCAAGTTGCTGGAGGAATATTAAGAACTAGATTCTAAAGATCACCAAAAACTTTCATAAATTCCTCAGAATCAATTAGAGTCCAATAGGTAAAGAAAACCAGATTTATAAAAATAGCTACAAAATGAAAATTAGTCTATTGTCAAATTACATTCAAATGAGTATGATTAGGACTCTACTAATAATAGAAGAAGCATATTGTTTATGAAAGTAAAGGGCAAGTAATAATAAATTTAATAGAAATCTATCACAGAACCTAAGCCTATCATAGAGTAGCAATTGAATGAATAAAATTCTTAGAACAACAATCAAAGAGTTCCTCAGGGACTTGATCTGATTCACATATTCGATTATGCTGATAATTCTACATAGTGAAGAAAAACTAGTGACCAAGACTTGATGAATAAAGTTAAGCATAGAATACAGTAGATTGTGTCGAAGTATAATGAAGCTGAGAGAGATGTAGACTCGAGTCTCGTTTAGAGTGGCAATAATAACTGATCATCAAGTCAGAATTCACTGAAGCATAATGTGTTTGACAGTAGATTTAAAATGAGGTATATTAGACAAGGCAGCAATAGTGCTCTCTAGAGTATTCCTAATCTAAAGGGGCCCAAAAGAATAATGCTCAATCAACAGTAGGAAACATTAACTGGCAGGAATTCTCAAATGTAGTCCAATCAATATTAGGATGAGTCTATGAATCTAAACTATGATATATTGCAGTTTAAAGGCATCAAAATTACCAAAAAGAAAAATATAAAACATTAGGAAGAACTTAAAAAGCTTAGAGATGGTGAACTATATAATGTCCAGCATATGGCGAAAGAATAGTCAGAAATGAAGAATATGGAGAACAGATAAAGGATTCTGAATAGAATTATGGAATAAGCGAGATAGCAAGGCAAGAATTCAACTTCTTCAATGAGTAGCCTCTCCAATAACTTAGACAATTAATCGCAGTCTGCCAAGAAACTCATAGATATAAACCTATTTCAAACCCAGTAGCTAGAGAATTAGCTGCGAAAGTCAGACATTTAGGCATTGAGGAAGACTAGATATCCGTTAAGCCAGCATAAAAGCGACATTAATCAGAATTCGGGTTCTGGCCAGGTCCAGAATTAATCAGATATTTACCTAAAATACTACTCTTAGTTAAAAGAGATACAAGTTAAAAAATCAATATACAATCTCAAGGATAAGTAGAAAAATTAAAAGATCTCAAATCAAGATTATCTGCCTGAAATTCAATAAGGATCACCAGGAAATACAGTTCTAAAAAAGAATCTATAGTTTTAAAATCAGATCATTAACAACTTGTCAAATGTTAATAAGCTGACTTTTACTGACAGGTAAATCAGTCCAATCGGTGTAAAGGATAAATTAAGGTCACTAAGGCTTGATAGCAGGGCTAATACGAAACTCAAACCCCTATTTTTGCCTTTCAAGCCAGAGTTGCCAGAGCAAAAGGGAATGAAGCAACATCTAATTAATAAACTTAGCAGAATACAAAGAGAGAATTAGTGGATTTCTCAAAACCTTCACTCGGTTAAATAGCAGTGATTCAAAGGAATGTACATAAATAGTTCTGATGAAATATGAATACATATTAATTGATTTCAATAATTATTTAAGTTAAGAATATTAATTAAGTCATCTTATTCGATAATTGTTTAAATTCAAAATTCAAAATGAGTGACATCAACAATCAAAATAGCATTGGCAGCAACAAAAATATACCAAAGAGTAATCTTAGAAATAAGTCCAGTGGCAAAAATACTCAAGTCAATACTTCATTAAACCTGAACAGCAGGGTGAGTTAGGTATTACGAGATAAATCAAATAACACCAAGACCTCCCAGATATATACTCAGAATTAAGATATAATCTCTACCTTGGGAAGTAAATATGAAAGAGATTAGTTAAAGCATAAAGATTCAAAGCCTAAATCAACATCTAATAAGAGTAAGAAGTCTAAGAACCAGTCATCAATGAATTCATCAAAGATATACTCATCTTAAGGGACTCTAGAGCAAATAGTAAGCAGTTCAAATTTGCATTCCAACAACAACAATAGTTATTAATCTCTCTCAAACCTTGGAGACATTACAGCTAATTTCAATTCATTGTAAAACTCTGGCAGATTAAACCATAATCCTCATCAAGTATTTCTCATGCCAGATGCTTAGGGATTTAGATCAAGTTCTCAAGATAACATCATCAATATATAAACTCCTAAGAATGTCATCAATTAGTTCAACCCATCCAGCTAATAGAGTGTTAAGCTATCAAATCCTTTATAGAAGTATCCTTAAAACTACACTAATATTTAGCTCTGTTAATAAAGCACTGAGAGAAGCAATTAAAGCTTAGGAACAGATTACTCTAAGGAGACTCCAGTTACAGCTACATAGATTAATCAAAGTTAATCATCATAATGTGGCTCTATTCACGTTTTAAGAAACTAGTATCAAAGGCCTTAAAACTTCTCAATGAGTCAAAGAAATTCATACTCGCCAGTGAATTAAGATAGTGCAAGTAATAAAACATCTTCTAGAGTTACCGAAGTAATATCGCCAGCTTAATTCATGGAGGCAAATCCATTATCTTTCTAAAATACTTAGGCGTCTCCCATTAAATTAATAAATCATGGTGCTATAATGTTCTAGAAACTGGAGCTGTTCTGGAAAGAAAGATTGCTTAAGTTAAATCAAAGTATCTAATAGATAAAAGAAGGAGCATTTAGCAAAGATGATATCATCAAGACTATGCTTGAAAACACAGAAACAGCAAATTATGCTGATTAGAGAATCAATGAACTAATAAAAGAAGGAGTTAATATTGAACAAGAGCTTCAGATTGAGTAGTTATCTAAGCAATTAATCATTTAGCAGTCAGAGGCATTACAGTCTCAAGTATAACTTTAGCACTTGATTAATGAGTATTAAAAACTATCTTAAAATAGTCATAGCTTTCAGAATGACATGGAAATTATTATTGCTGAGTTAAAAAAGAAGAAGTAGAAATATAAGGGTAAAATTGGTCAAATGGAAGAAGTCAAAACTGAACTCAAGTAGGTAAAGGATGAGAGAGACAATCTCTTGGAGAAGCTTAAAATTATGCAAAATCAAACATCTGAAAAACAAATTTACTTTGATTAGAGAATTGAAGAGATTAGTAAAGCAATAAAAGATCTAGAGACTTAAAAGGAATAACTACTGAGTACCATAAGTCAAATGAAAGAGGAAAGAGTGATTAATGAAAAGAAATTAGGTCAGAATTAATAGGATTTGCATTAGCATTATTAAGAACAAATGAAAACATAAAAGTAGTAAGTTAAGACTAAATACCTTAGTAAATTAAATGAAGTAGAAACATAACTATAAAATGAGTTTAAATCTAAACTCAAAGAAATCTAATCTAGCTCTGAAACCAAGACTTAGTCTTAGTCAAAGCTAGACAAGTAGACAATTGATTTCCTTTAGTAAGAAATTGCAAGGCTGAATGCTTAACTATAAGAGACTGTTTCTGTGAAAGAGCATGAAACTATATTAAATCATAGATTGAACTAAGCAGGACTCGAGCATGAAAATGAAATAGAGACAATAAAATAAGTCTTTGAGTAAGAACTACGAAAAGCTGAAAAATAAGTAAGATAAACGCATAAAAAAGAAGAGGAAAAGCTCAAACTCAGTGCATTATAGTTTGAAAAGTCCATGGAATATGAAAAGTCTGAGAGACTTAAGCTTCAGTCAAAGTATCATGAAGAAATGACAATGAAAGATACATAAATTCAAAAAATAAAAGATAAAATCTCGACTAGGGAAAAAGAATTATTACAATAGATTGAGGAAGAAAAAAATAAATTGAAGCAGCTTTAATAATAGTTGAAGTAGATAGAATACTGCAAAAAAGAGGAAATTGATTAGTAAAAACTAGAATTGACAAAGATCCAAGTAAACTAAAACTTAACCATCAAGGAATTGTAAGCCAAAGTTGATCAGCTCAATAAAGCAATGGATAGTCTGTAAATTACAAATGTACAGTAGATTGATTAGAAGTAAATGATCATCAAAGAAAGGGATATGCAACTTAAGCATTTGCAAGATTAGTATCACCTAATTGATCATGAAAATATTAGCCTAAAGAAAAAGATTAAGGAACTTGAATAAAATACTTTTAGTCATTAAAGTGAAAGCTAAATATAGAAAGATAAGTACCAATCACTATTGATCAGATTAAAGGAAATTTAGAATTAAAATGTCTGGAAACTAGAAAGAGAACAGGAAAGAATTAAAAGACTTAACTAAGATTTTAAGCTGATGAAGAAACTGTTGAAATAAGACTTTGACTATAATATTAGAGAGATATAGTAAAATACTAATCAGACCACTTAGACAATGCTTAAAATGATATCGAAACTAACTTCATAACTTTAGATAGCACTTAGAAACATCCCTAATGAAGAGTTTCTACAACTTAAAAACTCCTTTGAAATATTAAATAAAGAGAAAACAGCAATATCAGATTAGCTTAAGTTGAATATAAGAGAATTAGATGAACTTAAGACTAAGTTACTGCAAGAATAACATCAATATCAACTAAGCCAGTAGTTATAAGAAAAACTTCACAATGAAAACTTGCTTTAAGTATCTAAATAAATCGATGAGAACCTCAAAGAGATTGATAAACTTGCTCAAACTAATTCATAACTATAGGATGATGTCAATTAATCAAGGTCAGAGAATGCTATCTTGCTTTAGAAAATGGGTGAATTAGATACAATTTTTCAAGAACTTGATTTCAAGCTTAAAAATTCAGAAAATGAGAGAGATATTTTTAAATAGCAGCTCTAGTTTGAGGAAAAATCAAAGCATGAAGAAAGTATTCAGCTGAGACAGTAATTTTAGTTAAAGTAGGATGAGTTAATAGCAGATTTTAAAGATTAATGCATGAAGTTAAGAGGAGAGATTGAGGATAGTTACAATAATAAACTTAAGAATAAGATAAACTGTCTAAAAAATAAGCAGCAAGAAGAGATAAATGAAATTAACAAGTAAGTAGAGAAAAGGGAAGCTGAGATAATAGATAAGTTCTAGGAGTAGGTTGGACAGTATGAACAATAGATTGAATAAGCAAGTCAAGAGTATTTAAAGTTAAAAAAAGACTATAAAAAAATATTGCATAAGTACAAGTAAACAAAGCTGAAAGACCAGGAAAACATTTCTAAAATTGAAGAAGAAGTGTTTAAGTCACTAGCCAAGGTAAATACCACAGTTGGAAGCATATCCAGAAAACAAGCTGGAAATTACAGTTACATCAGTAATAGTAATAATCATCATTAGCTGTAGCAGCATTCCTCAATCAAAGTAGACAGAAGCTTTTAAAATCTGACTAACCATTCCATGTTCAAGCAGCATTTAACTCATAGTAGAGATAAAAGTGATGCTTTTAGGAACAATTTGACTCTTCAAAGTTTAAAGAATGTAAATGGCTGCAATCCAAACTAAAGCTTTAATTCACTTATAAGTTTGAGTCCTAATCTATTGTAAAATTAGAGTGCAATTACACAGGCTGAATACCCCAAATCAACTAGAAATAATTACTTTTAATAGCTGAACATTGGTGGCGGAAACAATAACAATGTTGTATCTCAATTAAACTATGGTTAGCGAACAATGCATCAAAGTTTAGTTATCTAGGATAATAACTGTGGACAAAGAAAAATCTCGCCTATTTCAAGAAGTCTTAATCAAAATGAGATTTCAAATAACTCTAGTTTTATTATTCCTACCAACGGAAATCATAATTGGAATCCTCTAGTCTCATCAATAAATAACTAAAACTAAATTATCACAGTCGAGGACTCTAAACAAACTAGTTCTAATTAACATAACCGTAATAAATTGTAAGAAAGCTCGCTTAATAGAGTTTTGAATGTTTCTGGAGATGTCTTGAATATAGGAGGAGGTAGTAATAATGGAAATGACTCCTTCCTAGTTGCTAGAAGTTTATCACCTAAAGAGAAAACTGGAAAGTTTGGAAGAGCTTAGAATTTGAATGTTTCAGTTATAAAATGAATAAATGATTTATAGGACTAATTGGGATAATTGAACTGTAAAAATATGACTCTTAATTGATTATTGTTGCATTTTACTTTGATTCATAACATAACTTAACTTAACCGATAAAAGATTAAATATTTAAAAATTTTAAACAAAGAATGAGTTATATACGATTAAGATATCTTCATTTTTTGTTCTTTAAATCCTCAAAATGTCTCTACTTCCTCACATATTCAAAATCAACTCCCTAATGTTTAAGATTAGAAAATAGTCTTAATCATACCTGTTCCATTGCTTTGAAATACATATATCCGTATAGATAAATATTTTCTGGCTAATCCTTGAGAACTTCTAGTGAAAAATCATGGAGGACTTCTTGGAATCCATCAGGGACAGGGAACTTCTCAACGTAGCGATTTGACATTTTATTTCTTATTTATTTCAATTATTGTTCATTAGAGTTTACAAAAGCATTATGGGGTTTTGGGGTTTTGGGGTTTTGGGG